AAGTGGGGGGTCGTTGACCTCAGGCCGGGGCCCTGTGTGAGTCTGAAGCATTTACCCCAAGTCACAAGTGCAGGTCACGGCTGGCGTGGGGTGGTGGGTGGACAGTGTGAGACGTCGTCGCTGTTATTTGTGGGGCCCCATGTGCCGGGCTCAGCCCTGAGCTCACTGCCCTCGGTGCCCCAGTGTCCTGCAGGGGCCTCGCCTGCCACCGTACCTGGGGACAGCAAGGCCCAGCGAAGCCCGGGGCTGCGGGCCCCGGCAGGAGGGTTGGCACGCGGTCACGCAGCCCTCTCCACGTCTCCTTGTCTTGCAGGGTGCGATGGCCGCCACCTACTTCGCTCTGAACAGAACCCCTCGGGCTCCGCGGCTGGAGCCGGTGCTGTCGTCCAGCCTGGCCCAGCGCAGGGGCATGAAGCGACTCACGTCCACGAGGCTGTAGCGGCTGCAGGACCGGCCACGGCCTTGGCCCACGGGCGCCAGCCTGGCGGCCAGTCACGGTGTCGCTGCAGTGACCACGGGCGCCCGCATGCCATCCGCGTGTTCCCGTTCGGCAGGGAGGACCCGCACGGCGACCTCCCCACGCCTCGCTCTGCCAGCCTCGCCACCTCCTTCCCCAGCAAAGCCGGCCAGACCCCGACCACCGCCAGCCGCCACCCGGCTGCCTCTGGCTTCCCCCTGACTCGGCGGGCCGTCCACCTCCCTGGCTGCTGTCACACGGAGGGCCTCTCCCGCTGTCAGACAGTCCCTTGGCGAGCTTTCCGCCCGTGCGTCCCAGCTGTCACGTGAGAGGCTGCATCAAGCAGTTCGCCGTGAGCCTCCTGGGAGGGGCCGGCTTCGTGGTCCCACGCAGCAGCGGCTGACGGACTGGAGGGCACGTGCACCAGGGGCAGACGCCAGTCCCCGCAGATGACCCAAAGAGCCTCGTCCCGTTGCCCCCGCGTTTCTGGCTGAGTTGCTCGGTGTCGTGTCCTGTGTCACGGCTCTGAACGGGAGGAGGCCCCGAACTAGCCAGCGGTGTCCTACATCTCACAAGAATCGTGTGTCCCGCAGGAGGGGCCAGCAGAGGCCTGTGTCACCTGGCCCTCGCCCCCAGGGCCTGCTTTCCACCCCCCGGCCCCCGATCCAGATGCCTCCCGCGGCGCGCTTGCTCTCACTGCTCTACCCCCGGCCCCCGCAGAGCCCTCGGCCCTGAGCTCGTCGCCTCCCCCATGTCCTCAGCCCCACTGGAGGTCGGAGGGGGACGCGGGGCCACTGCCCACCACCCGGGGCCTGGGCAGCTGAGATCTGGACGTGCTCGGCGGGAGGCGTGCCGTGTGGTTTGTGCTTCTGTTGCACGATCTGTCCTCGCCCGTGTTTCGGTGATAGCCAGTGTCCCCTGGGGTGTGCGCACAGGCGGTTGTGCGGAGTCAGCCCGCGTGCTGGCCTTCGTCACAGGAAACTGGCAGGCTCAGCCCCGCTGCCCAGGCCTGCGCGGAGGAGCACGCGTGACCTTCAGCCTCCTCCCAGCGCCTCCCAGGCTGACGGGACGTGCGCCCGCCGCTCCACCTGTCCCTCTGCGTGCCGGCGAGCCGCGGGAGCAGCCGCTGGCCGTAGCCTGGTGTCCACTGAGGAGACGATAGTTTATCGTTTATTGTGTCCATCTCAACTCACCCTAGTGCTCAGCATATACACACACACGTGCGCACACGCATGCGCACGCACATGCATGCACACTTGCATGTACAGACGCACACATACACGCTCACACTCGCACAGATGTGCACCTGCACACGCGCATGCGCACGCACATGCATACACATCCATATGCGTGCGCATGCATGCAAGTGTGCGCACACACGCTCCACATTCTGAAAAATCACTCCTTCGTTTGGTCTGTTGTTTTTGGACCTTAAAATACAAACTCAGATCATGAGCTTTCATTATTCCATGAGGCGTTTTTTCTCAGAAACACAGGAAACAAAGGGGGACAAGTCCATGTGCATTTCCCACAAAGCCCTGCGAGGCGTCTCTCGCACTTTCTCAATAGAAGACACTTTCTCCGGCTCAAGTGACTTCCACTCGCAATAGTTTATCTGAGGCGTGAGCTATGTCACCACTGTCAGACCCCTGGGATGGGCGGGAGGGCCCGCAGGAGGCAGGCCTCGCCCTCCTAGAAATCGACCCGAGTCGTCACGTCCCGTGCCAGCTGCATGGGCAGCTGCGCGGGCCTCAGCCTGGCTGCTTGGCCAGCTCAGGGTCCCCGAGTTCCGAGGGCGGGGACGAGAGCCCAGAGGACCGAGCAGGTTTGGCGAGGAGAGCGGCCGGCGGCCGTGCCCCCCGTGTGGCTGTTGCCACCCAGCTCCCGTTCTCAGCTCTCAGGGGTGCAGAGGGTCCCCGAGGCTCGCATGGCCCAGACTGTCCCCTCGGGGCGGGAGCCACGTGGCCAGAGGCACCGCAGCGCTCGCCTGCCCGGCTGGCCCAGCTCCACTTGAATGTCTGTGAAATACCTCCGCTTCTCGCCGTGCCTGCAGCTGCGGCACTTGAAGTCGCTCTGCAGAAAGCCAGCCTAGAGGAGCCGCGACGCCACGCTGGAACCCGGACGTCGGCCGGCCGC